CTAGTGAACTATTAAGATAAAAAAGTAAATTAATATAACTGATACTTGTTATATTTTATTTTACTTTTTTTTGTAAATAGGCATGAAACGCGTTCTGTTATAATTAATTTAAAAATCAAATATTAAACTATGACTTTTTTCATATTTTTTTTTATCTAAGGGAGGTTACTTTAATTTATATAATTATAATGTTTTATGTAATAAATAATTTTAAAAAACATTGCTATTATAGACATTTTCAAACATTGTTGCCATACCCATAACTAACCTTATTTAGTGTCCATTTCGTACCCTTATATAGAGGACCTCGAGAATTGTTTTTATTTTCATAGTGGAGTATACATGTATTATCGATTAATATTTTTCTGAATAGTGAATGTGGAGAGGAATGTATCATTAAATCTTGTGCGATAGAGCTTGTACCCGACATAACTAGTGTAAGTCTCCTTAATAATGCTGTCATCGTGAAACCAACATAGATGTTTACTTTTTTGTCCGAGACAAAATCTTTCAAAGAATATATAATTTGATATACAATGTTGGTCTTTTGCAAAACATTAGCTGACGGAGATGTGTTATTGGCTGTATTAAATTTAGTATGGTATATAAGTAGAATTTTTTTTTACTATGATCACTGTGAAATATATTGGTGCTTATGAGTTTTTAGGATTATTTCATCTTGTTTATAGTTAGAAAAAAGTCAGTAATGCATAGATACACATAGTTTTTGCCTTAGCGGTTACACCCCTGATGAGGATCTCATAAAGAGATGCAAAGTAATTGGGTAATTGTTATAGTGGAACACACCTATTCTATAGTTAATAGACTCTCCCACCTATAATAAGTAGGAGTAGTAAGAGTAACAAGGGAGTCAGTGGGTGAGTCAGTCGATATCGGACGACAGTTAGTCGAATACTAAAGTATCAGCGACTACAACTAGATTACTCTGCGTTATACCTATTGTATCAAGTTCCTAACGTTTTGTTCGTCGAACCTATTTTAGGACCGACTTAGTACAAATACAAGCCTCCATTGTGAAATCACTCCATAACAGTAATAAAAGTCATTCTCACTGTTACAATGAATTTCTTGCCTCATTTAATTGCAATATACGGAAAGATATTCGTGAATATTAAAGAATTCTGTCAAAATAGGATATAACGTTTTTAGCTTATTTAACAAAACACACACACACGCATATATATATATATATATATATATATATATATATATATATATATATATATATATATATATAATCACAAAGAATACAATAAATATTTATTTAGGTTATAATTTATTTCGTGAATATCAAAGATATTCACTCTTCAGACCAAAGTCTCTTAGTAAATTGAGACAATGCACCGGACGTATATATTAGATTGACAGGGGGAAGCGAAATCAAAAAAGAAGATATGAGAGAAAGAGGGGATGGAGGAAAGTGACCGGAGGACAGGCACTTTTAAACAGACGAGATAAAGGAAAATATGGATAAGTAGTAGTAAGCCTAAACAAACTGAACAGGCCAAGAATTTTTTTTTCCTTTAAAATTTGGGACTTTGTACATTGAATTATACAAACAGAAACTGCCAAAATGTTCTATAATTTCGAACGGTATTACAGAACATTTGGACAGTTTCTACAGATTCTGTGTCCAGAAAAGTAAACACTTTTTCGTACACAAGAAAAATTAAATAAAATACTTAATCGCAGAACCTTGTCTGTCGTCTTTAATGAAACATGTATGAATGAATGTTTGCTGCCTAAATACACAATATATATATATATATATATGTATATATATATATATAATATATATATATATATATATATATATATATATATATATATATATATATATATGAAGAAATATAGTCTTAAGGTGTGCTATATTTATGGGATAAAGTGCTCAATATCAGAGATAGAGCGTGTGTAAATATAAAAGTTAACATAGAAGTCAACACTTAGAGGCGACAATCTGTTTCATGCTATATGCAATCGTCCAGGCCACGTGCCTGACGATTGCATATAGCATGAAATAGACTGTCGCCTTTAAGTGTTGACTTTATGTTCACTTTTTATATATATATATATATATATATATATATATATATATATATTGAGAGAGACAGAGAATGAGAGACGGGGAAAGAGGAATGAAAGAATGAGAAATAGAGAGAATCAGTGAGAGAGAGAGAGAGAGAGAGAGAGAGAGAGAGAAAGGTAGAGAGAGCTACAATCATATTCAAAGGTTATAATAAATGAAAATAATAACAGTGGCATTTACAGTCTTGTCAGCCTAAGGCAAAAACTTGCTTGTTGAGAGTTCGGCGTAATAGCTTTTAATAGGATCATATATATATATATATATATATATATATATATATATATATATACGCATCCATATAATAGTCTCTATAGCCCATTAAGGTGTATATAAATACAGTTTTATCATATAACTGTAATTTTCACTTAAGCCGAATATAAATGAATTTCTTTTTTTTTTTTGTGATGGAATATTATACACAATTGATATTATCAAATACTATTTATGACCAAATTCTGCAGCATTGAAAATCTGTTGCCAAAAATAAGAATATATTGCCGTCTCCAAATTAGTACAGTTATACGAAAATGTCTGTTGTAATTATTTGTGTACCATTTTACTCATGCCTAAAATATAAGTCTACACAAGTATTGGATATTAATTTTTATGTCCAACGGCAGCTCGATATTTGGGATTAAAATGAGTAATATCTTAAAAGAAGATTAAATCATTAACCAAAAATAAATTTCTTAAAAAAGAAATATATATATATATATATATATATATATATATATATATATATATATATATATATATATATATATATATATTGATATAAATCCGTGGTAGGCTGATTTACTTCTGTCTGTGTCAAAGAAAGATGTTTCCATTATAGTTGTTCTATTTATACTATTTATATTCAGACAATTGTCTTCATCTTTGTTGTTTTTATCAAATTTTCCGTCTGTTGCGCCATCCGGCGTTCCTCAGGCGTATATCGAATACTCAGAACTGTACCATTTATTTAATCAACGGCACAGACTGTTCTCGATCCACTGTTCATGTCTACGGATATCGTCTAGTTTTATTTTATTCCGTACAGAGGTTGCCCGCCCATTTCTAGTGAGTGATTGTTACAACCTTTCCACTGAGTGTTAGTTACAACCCAAGGTCACATGGCTCAGTGGATAAAAACGTCGATTGGATCCAGGGACTGGACACAAAGTGTTGTGAGTTCAATACCTGGCTACTGAAGTGGTGAATAAAAACTTGCAGAGTAGAGTTAAAGGAAGATAACTGAGATATGCAGGAGAGGTTTGACACGTTAAACTAAAACGATTGTTGGACGAAATGAAGGGTTCAGTTCGAGATTCCAATCAGAAGAAGGCTGGAGCGTCAACGGCCGAAACGTTGTGTATATGACAATAAAGATGAAAACAACAGTCGAGACAATGTAAATAATATAAATTATTACAATTACTCATCTCAGAAATATAGACAGATAAAATATACAGCATATCTTAAAACTATATTTTAAAACTATATTTATATATATATATATATATATATATATATATATATATATATATATATATATATATATATATATATATATATATATATATATATATATATATAAATATAAATTTTCTGTTTATACATTATTTTTAAAGATATAATTTAAGTAAATGCTCTGTCTAGTAATTAAACAGTATTAATTACATTTACCGGCCTGAATGTTTGAGAAATTTCGTAGAAAATATGCGCTCTCCGGCAGGAATCGAACGTGTAGCCCATATAACGTATAAACAGAAAATATAATAATTGTCAGACTTAATCCATTTCAATATATATATATATATATATATATATATATATATATATATATATATATATATATATATATATATATATATATATATAAAATTATTTATTTAAAATATGATTCCAACGCTACATAAGAGTTCTCATGTTTCAAAACGAGAGCCGAAAACTTCAATATAATTATTTGAATTAAATTGAATTAAAGTACTAAGCTTTGTTCCAACTTCAACCGATTTTTTTTTAGAATAACTTATTCCTGTTTACGCGTTTTATAAGCATATTCATTATTGAAATTAAAATTACTATTGTAACGGCTAGAGCAATTATTTAAAAAAAAAGGGGCGTAAGGGTTAATAATTTGTATCAATATCTCAGTTACATTCACAGATATATATATATATATATATATATATATATATATATATATATTACTTAATTACATAAATTGCTGTCATACCTTCAATTTTTTCTTGTTGATCTGTCTTTCTAAATATCTTTCTTTGTTTATTTCAGTCTTTGTACATCTCTGCCCTTTTTATATTGTTTTATTTTTGTTTTAATTATTATCACTCTCCCTCTTGCTTTTTGTTTTTCTCTTTTTTCCTCTCTTATTTTCTTTCTGTTTTATCCTTTTTTTCTTTCTTTTTGGGCTTGTTTTTCTCGTTGCTTCTTTCTTTTTGTCTATTTTTCTCTCATCCCTTGTGTGTGTGTGTTTTTTTTACTTCTCTTTTATGCCTTTTTCTATCTTTCTCTCTGTCTGTATTTTGTTTTCTCTTTGCTTCTTTCTTTCATACATTTGTACTCTCCTTCTGTATATAGTGATTTTCCAAGCGTAGTTTAGATGTGGCACAAGGCCGAAAGTATGGGGTACCCAGTGAGGATCGAACTCACTACTCAGTTGTAATTTTTCTAGCAAGACAAGCTTGCTGATCATTACACCGCTCCGAGGTGTCCACTTTCTTTCTGTATATATGTCTTTCTTTATTTCACTCTTTGCACCTTTCTACCTTTCTTTTTTTTCTTTTTTTATCATTCTTTCTTTCTTTCTTTCTTTCTTTCTTTCTTTCTTTCTTTCTGACTTATGTTTGCCTTTCTCCCTATATTCTTGCCGATTTGTCCATCCGTTTTTATGAATTTAGAACTTCCTTCTTTCTTTCTTTCTTTCTTTCTTTCTTTCTTGCTTTCTTTCATTCATCCTTTCTTTCTTTCTTTCTTTCTTTCTTTCTTTCTTTCTTTATTTCTTTCTTTCTTTCTTTCTTTCTTTCTTTCTTATGTTTGCCTTTCTCTGCCTTTCTCCCTATCTTCCTGCCGATTTGTCTATTCTTTTTTATGTATTTAGAACTTCCTTCTTCCTTCCTTTCTTTTGCTTTCTTTCATTCATCCTTTCTTTCTTTCTTTCTTTTTCTTTCTTTCTTTCTTTCTGACTTATGTTTGCCTTTCTCGCTATATTCTTACCGATTTGCCTATCCGTTTTTATGAATTTAGAACTTCCTTCTTTCTTTCTTCCTTTCTTTCTTTCATTCATCTTTTCTTTCTTTCTTTCTTTCTTTCTTTCTTTCTTTCTTTCTTTCTTTCTTTCTTTCTTATGTTTGCCTTTCTCTGCCTTTCTCCCTATCTTTCTGCCGATTTGTCTATTCTTTTTTATGTATTTAGAACTTCCTTCTTCCTTCCTTTCTTTTGCTTTCTTTCATTCATCCTTTCTTTTTTTCTTTATTTCTTTCTTTCTTTTTTGCTTTCTTTCATTCATCCTTTCTTTATTTCTTTCTTTCTTTCTTTTTTGCTTTCTTTCATTCATCCTTTCTTTCTTTTCTTTCTTTCTTTCTTTCTTTCTTTCTTTCTTTCTTTCTTTCGTTTTTCTCTTTTGATATTTCATTTTGTCTTACCGTGTCATATTTCTTTATCTTTGCCTCTCTTTTCTTCTATGTAACTGTTTTCTTTTTTTTTTATCTTTGTTTCTTTTTCCCTTCTTTCTTTATTTATTTCATATATGCTTTCTTCTTTGTTTGTCAGTGATTCATAAAGACATTAATATTATTCTATTTGAAGTCTTCTTTTAACATATGTTCCTTCATTAATTCTCGCAATATTTTCTAGCTAGTTTTTTTCTTTGCACAGAACATGTTTGATAATTAATAATCATGACTTCCTAGGCTATAGAATCAAATAAGGATGAAATAAGTACAAATATTGTGTTGCGCTAATCTTCCAGTTGAGGAGGGGGGGACTTGCGAAATCATCAGATGAAATTCTATGCTGTTTTTCTTCCGCCACTTCTCAAAGACTGATTTAGGAAAAGTACCGGAAACACGCAAAAAACTACAAGAAATTGTCGACTTTGGAGAAAAAAAATTTGCTGATATGACGAATGATGCCTGGTCACTAAGTTGTTTCTTTTATTCATTTTTTTCTCATTTTTTTTATTTTTCGTTCATCATTTTTTCCCTACCTTAACTTTATTATCTTTATTCTCTGTCTCTTCCAATATACTTATTTAGATATTTTCTGAAAACGTTATTTTCTTCATTCTGCTTATTTTTCCACTTTAGACTTTACACACTTTCTCTCTGTCCTTCGTTTATTCATTCAATTTTTCCCCTAATTCTAACACGTTCTTTTTTTCCACCATTTATTGAATAATGTTTGTTTTCTTTTGGCCATTTGCCTTTTATACCTTCCATTTTTTTTTTTTTTTTTTTTTTTTTTGGATAATTTCACATTTGCGATGATTGCCTTTCTGTCGAAGACGCCTTTACTGGAGAATTACATTTCTATTGAAATTCACCATAAAATAGCGTAAAACATTGCAGTAATGCTAAGAAAAATGCTGAAAAACAGACAAAAATTTATTATTTTGTCGTATAAATGATGTCTACTTCTGAAGTGTTATTCATATTCAGGGTATAAACACCCATTCAGGTTATGCCTTTCTGAGGGCGTAGTATCTCTCTCTCTTTATCTTTCTCTCTCTCTCTCTCTCTCTATATATATATATATATATATATATATATATATATATATATATATATATATATATAAATAAATGTGTGTGTAACAGCAAAATTGTAACAGCATAATTGTCAAAATCGCGTTAATACAAAATTGCTCGATAGTTAGATAAAGATTTGAGACGTTGTATCTTAGAAATTAAACATATCTTACTGGAACTCTACGAGGTTTTTATAGCACTATTGGACTCTACTTTGAATAGAAAGAATGTATAATTACTATTCAAAATAAACAGAAGAATCGTGATGAATTCGATCATAAACAAAAAATGACGTATTCATCATTAATGAATCATATTTAAGAATCGGAAGTTCATGAAGTATTGAAATTAAGTTCAAATATATATATATATATATATATATATATATATATATATATATATATATATATATATATATATATATATATATATATATATATATATATATATATATATATATATATATATATATATATATATATATATATATATATATATATATATATATATATATATATATATATATATATATATATATATATATATATATATATATATATATATATATATATATATATATATATACATGTTATATTTATATATATATACATATATATCTACATATATATATATATATATATATATATATATATATATATATATATATATATATATATATACAAACAAACATCAAAACTTTTCATCTTAATTTCGAGCGTTATTTTCCAAAATGCATCTGTCGAATGCTTACAACCTCTTGATACCATCTGTGATGAATTAATATATTAACAACGACTTGTCAGCACATGGGAAATATCTTCCAATCTAAAAATAACTGGGTTGATAAGCCGTAAAATCGAATCAATCAATCAATCAATCCTAGCCTTTTTAGGTTAACTGTCGAACTGAGCAAACTTCAGTGTATTTATAGCCAAATAAATGATTTAATCTGCAGGCTGTAGGTTGTACTCGTTCCGCTCTCCTGGTCTACAATAGATCTCCCATAAAAAAAATTTGTCTATGAAAAATACATTTTAGCGTAAATTTATGTATTTAAAATCATATAATTGTGTACAAAATACTTGTATTTTGGCTATAAATAACACATATTGGTTGATTTTTTGCAAAAACAACGAAAATAAACCAAATCAACATAATATCCTACATTAAAGAAATAGGTTTATACTAAAACATATAACGCCTGCAATACATATACTACAAACTACATATCTAGAAAATTTACGGTTACCCTGAAAGTATAAACTTATTTATAAAGTATCTGTAGTTGAGAGAATAAAATTCTGTTCAAAATATATTTAGTTGAAGCCATAAAATTGGGTACAAAATATTTAGATTTCGGCATTAAAAAACCCATAGATATTGATTTGCAGCCAAACAAATCAATCAACCCTTTTTTTAAATTAAATTTGTACGGGCCTATTTTTTTCTGCGGTTTCGGTTGTCCTTTCTACTTATAGGCATTTAATAATCTGTCTGCTCCCTTCTCTTACAACTGCAATATCGGTTTGTATATTCTGTGTCATTTTTTGCTCTAAGACGTCGCGCCCAGTTGTCTGGTAGCTGCTCAGAATTCCAGTCGAAGGAGTCACGAAATAAACCGGCTCCCACCCCAAGAGAACGAAGATACTTTGACACAAATGCAGCGCGTTGAATCTGTTTTAGAATCATCTCCTGTGCTTTTCTATTCCTTCCCTTCATCTTGGTTTGATATATTTTTTTTTATTTTATTTGTACACACAGTGCATGTCCAAAATATCCCAAAGAAAAAGAAAAAAAAAACTTGCAGCTTTTAAATCAACACTCATATCATTTGTTGGTGGCAGCTGATATTTTGTTTAATTTATTTAATCAAGTATAAAAGTGATGTTCCTTGAGAGGATGTGACGTGTTTGATAGACGCATCATGCAAAGGTTGAAAATTTTAATGTCATAACGCAAAGAATCGAAGATGTCATTTTCCATTCCTTGACAAAGACATTACATACATATCAGATGTAAACAAATACGCATATAAATACAACAAAATATATATATATATATATATATATATATATATATATATATATATATATATATATATATATATATATATTGTTTTTCTATATGCATATATATATATATATATATATGCAGCTGGCAGCAGAAAAAAAGTCATACACATATAAATGCGCAAGAACACAGGAGAATACGTATACACTCATGAACTTCATTTCTTACACGGACACACATCCAGATAACAGAGATACATATACAGAAGTTAAATTAGCTTTAAAAAGAAGTGGATGCCACTAAGTGAGGTTCGTACCTCACTTTGAAAAGAATATGTAACTAAATACCCACAAACACATATATACGCATAAATGCCCACACACAGACACACATATATATATATATCTTTATTGAAGCATATCATGTCTGCGTTAGTTATTCTACAAATTGCATATCTAGAAGTCATACTGTGTGTGTGTGTGTGTGTGTGTGTGTGTGATACACACACAGATTTTTCAAATCTATCTAAAATAGTACTCACACGAATTTTTTCATGTTCTCCCGAGAATTTTCAATCTGCCGAAAATTTTGCACATCCAAAACTCTTCAAATTGACCAAACATTCTACTCACCCAAGTCACTTCAAATCCATCTGAAATTATACTCACCCAAAATTATTCAAATCTACCTAAAATCATACTCACTCAAGACCTTTCAAATCCGCCTAAAGTTATACTCACCCATGACATTTAAAATCCAGCTAACATTTACTCCCCCCAAGGCTCATCAAATTCCACCTAAAACCCAAGACTCTTCTTCAAATTGTATCGCAGAATATATATTAGGTGACGTTGACTAATTCAATGATGCTTAGATGGGCTATTTATTATCGAATATAGATCTTAAAATACAAAAGTCACTATGAATTTCACAAAAAAAGGCAGACTTAGGCCCAAAGTACAATAGATAAAAAATACAGACTCATGTCTGGTTTACATTAAAGTCGAAAACCTAAAAACAGATTCAGTTTATACTGCGTCTGTAAGTATCAACTCGAAAGTTGGGTTTTTTTTTTTTGCGTGTCCATGGTGAAGGGGTTTCTCCAGTCAAGAGATTGAAGTCATCGTATTCGAAGCCACGCCCACGTGGATGCAATGTTTATGCTTAAGAGCATAAAACTTTTAACAATTCGATTAACAAATCAGACCTAACGGTTGCCTGTCCTGTTATCTTCCACTAAGGTAAGAGGTTGAATGTAAACATTCAGCATTATTGGAAAGCGAATTCTTGAAACACAGAACGTCAGAAGAGAAAGTGATCAAACAAACAGAAACGACCAAATTTTCAAATGCTGATCAGATGATTGTATTACTTCAGGTTCGGTGGCATTGTCTCGAATCAGAAGGGAAACGAACATGTGCTGAGTAATCTGAACAAACAATCGTTTTTTTTTCCGTCTCTCGGTGAATCACACACACTGTCCGACCCGTGTTATAATCATCTCATTTTCCTCATGCCTGGATCAGCGCCGGTAAATTTCCCACATTAGTAGAATCATCAAACACACGAAAGAGACATGCAGGCAGGGACAGTAATTAGTGAATGTAAATACATACAAGGAATCCAAAGAAGAACCATCAATATTATTGGTCTTGACCTGGCATCTTGCTCGCCTCCGTAATTCCCTGTACCTTTTCTATAAGTACTTTCATGAAAATTGTTCGGATGTGCTCGTCACTATGTTTTTTTTTTAAATCATTGTTTTATTTCCCACCACCCCAAACAACGAATTGTACATAGGGGGACTAGTTAGGATTTTCATAGACACAATGAAGTATTATGGTGGATGTAGTAAGAAAGGTAAGTAAGAATTCTCTGTCGTTTTGCTGTTGGGAATATTGTGGTATATTTGAGTCAATATTTGTGGCTAACTAAGTTTAACGTTAAGACAGAAGACCGTCTTTTTCTCATTCCTCATTTTTGGCCTTGTGCCATATTTTTGGTATGTAAGCGGAAATAAATATCGCTCTTCACTATGGTGGGGACTAGTTAGGATTTTCATAGAGACTTGAGGTATTATGGTGGATGTTGTAAGAATGGTAATTAAGAATGTATTGTTTTGGTGTAAGGAATATTGAGGTATTTTGGGGTCAGTGATCGAGGCTAGCAATGTTTAATGTAAAGACAGAAGAAGACCATCATCTTTTCCCATTCCCCATTTAGCCTTGTGCCACATATTTGTAAATAATGTGGAATAAATATCACTCTTCACTATGCTACCTAGACGTTTTAAATTTAAGCGCAGTACTCTACTGGCAACAAGGTTTCATTAATTCGTGAATTGTCTAGACGCAACCGTAAGTTCTTTGCTGACAGTTTCTTTTTTTCGCACTTTTTGCTTCTAGAACACTGTTCCGACTCCATGTTTTCCACCCATCTTCAAAAATTTAAATGAAATACTAATCACTTTCTATTGTCTTCCTAAAACTTTTTTTTTTAAATCTTGCTCATTGGTGAAGTTTCTCTTCCTAATTCTTCCACATCAAGTACCACCTTCCTTATTACTGGCTTTATGTCTGCCTGAGGTGAAATCCATTTTAAAAAATACAATTATTAAAGTTATCTGTAAAATTTACAAATGGGAATTTAAAGTCTCATTGCTTTAAATTTAATGTAATTTTAATTTAAAATGATACATCTAGCACACTCTCTAGGGACAGTAGCCTTGTGAATTACGGAATTGGCTAGTGGATTTAGATAAACAGTATTTGTGCATTCAACTCTTTAGTTAGGCAGGTGCAATTAGTATCTGTGCTTTTTCAAACCAATGATGACATCAGTTCAACGCATGTCGTCTGGTCTTTTTCAACGACACAAAGTTTTTTGGCACTTCTGTTTCGCCGTTAAATTTGTGCTTGCATACATAAAGATTTTTTCTAAAGTGGTTGTTTGTATATGAATACGTCGTATTGAACTATAATTTTAAAATATTATTCTTAATTTTAATTACTAATAGACTATACATCTTTTAAAACAAATAAATGTAATAGAATTGTATCTATATGCATTTATATGTTTTCCAACACCAGTATTTTAAATGTAGGCCTGAAACCTATTCAATGTTTAGAGATGTATAATAAATTGTAAAGATTGAAATTTTATTTTGAAATCATGTTTATAACAGAATTTGAGGATAAAAATAAATGTATGCCTCCTAGAATTTTCTCGATCTGAGAAAGGATAAATATAGAAAATAAAAGATTATAATGTTTTGATTTTTGGTCAGCTTTGGGGAAATGAGTCAATCCCAGAACTTTGACGCAATCCTTCGTATTTTCACGATTCCTTACAAAGTCCTCATACTTTATGAAGCTAGAAATTATAGTGGAACATGAACGTTTTATCAGAAAAAAAATGGTTTGGTAACCAGAATAATTAAATTACGATCTTGTCTTTTATAACGATTCTAACATTTTCTTTCTGCTGAGTACCTTCAATTCCTACTGAAAGCAGATTTTAAACAAAGAAAGGATAAAATATAAATTTAATCACGATATATATATATATATATATATATATATATATATATATATATATATATATGATTATTAATAATATTTATTCTTTTTCAATGAAACTTTATATTGTTTATATATTAACGATATCTATCACTTATAAACTGGGAAAATATTGCAGACGAAAGATATAAATATATAACTTAACTAGGAATTTAATTTTTTTATTTTTTTGTATATTATCGATATCTGTCAAATATAAACTTGGAAAATAATGCGTATATATATATGAAATAATTTCGGACTTGGCCAAAATCTGGTGCAAAGACCATGGCCACTGTGGGAACCATTGAGCTGTGATGAGAACACCACAATCTACAGACTGTCATTCGAAGTACTGTATTTAATTAATATTAAATTTAACTTTCTAAATATACAAGATCATTATGGTGATTTCATACACATTATTAACACTTACAAACATCTCTCCTTTATATGTAAATATATATATATATATATATATATATATATATATATATTATATATATATATGTGTGTGTCTTTATATATATATATATATATATATATAAACACACACACATATATATATATAAACATTTATATATTACATATGTTTCATATATATATATATATATATATATATATATATATATATATATATAGAGAGAGAGATACATAAATATATATATATATATATATATATATATATATATAGAGAGAGAGAGAGAGAGAGAAAACAGGAAAAATCTCGTAAGGTAAATAATCCAAAGTTCTTTAGTATTTTTGTCATTATTTAAAAAAAAAACAGTGCTCGATACAAAAGTAGAGCCTAAATATAATTATTTATTTAAAAGTATAATTATTTAAAAATATAATTATTTATTTAAAAATATGATTCCATCGCGATGGAATCATATTTGAATATATATATATATATATATATATATATATATATATATATATATATATATATATATATATATATATATATATATATATATATATATATATATATATATATATATATATATATATATATATATATATATATATTGATGGGTGGTGGTCGACCGTAGTCAGGATCACTGAGTGATCCTTTCCTTATCTGCATAGTATGCGCTTCGCC